AAATATCGATATTTCTACAGTTTTAAAAGTTACATCCCTAGTTCTATCCGCCATTACGGGTGACCAAGTGAAGTTTATGTAGGCACGATTTTTTCCTAGTTGTTTCTTATCCATACTCTTATCATATCAGTGTACAGAATACATTTATTCCAAGATTTGATGTCATTTTGATGTACGTGTTTAAAGTTTTATAATCTATTTTTTGCTCTCTTACATTCATTCATTCATTACATCATTCACATTCATATCGTAAATCGTTCTATTGTTCAATGAAAAAAATAAAATTAAAAATGCAATTTGTCAAACGAGTACGAGTACAACAACGAAAGTCAAAATAAATAATGTACTTTATTTACACAATATCATTTTATTTAAGTTGTAATAGTTGTTTTATGTCGTCGTTATAAATACTGAATTAATAGATTACCTTAGTATCTTATTGTGTATTAGGAAACTTGATCATGGTAAGTTTCTTTCATAGTCATCTCATCCTAATATATAAATTCGATTAAGTATCGTTAAAATATGCATTTATTAGAGTTTAGGCGGAAGTAAAAACATAGAAAATACATAATTAATGAAATCTATTGTTGAATAGATTTATAAGATTTCATTCATATAAAGGCACTGCACACTGGTAGGTACATAAATAAATACCTAAATAAAACAACAGATATGCTTGAAAATCATAAATATTTAATCTCACATTAAAAAAACCTTGAAATGAAACAACAATATTACTGAAAGGTAGAGTAAATGTAACAGAATTCCAGGAGATAAACATTTTTATTATGAAATGAAATCATTAGGTACAAATCAGCATTACATACCTACATACACCTTACTAGCACTTACAAGTGAGAGATTTCTTTGTTATTGAGATGATATATTTGTTGAATAATGAAGATAATGCCTTACAACTAGGCTATGAAAACCGTGTCATTGATTGAAGCAATGTGAAACCAAAAAAATAGAGATTAATTTACACCTACATTGCCAAAGTGACCTTCACCTCTAAGTCTTTATTGCCTCTAACAGTTTTATAACGGATCCTAGTGTGCTACAAAGTATAAAAGTACTAGTCTTAATTCTTAAATTGTAATGTAAAGTTAAAAATGTATCAACATTTTATAAGTTGTCAAATGTTGAAGCATGTTTAAATGCAAATGAGGTTTTTTAAAAATTATATCATTGCTGTTTAGTAACTCTCATATCAATCAATATTTAATAAAAAAAACTGATATCAGTATATGTTTTGTTTCAGAATAGCAAGATATTAAACACAATAGCTAATGCCATCGATAATAGAGAAGAGTTGAAAAAAAGAATAGAAAATGGCAAAATAATTCATCAAGAATTATTAAATTGCATACAAAATTGCCACAATCGGTTTGGAGGGAAGTCAGAGTTAGCCACGGAAGATGATATAAGGTGATAAATAATTAATATTTAATTTTTTTACTTGTTATTATTAAATATTATAATAATTATTAGGTTATTCTTTCAGAATAGCTCAACTATGTGAAAAATGGGAGAAATTGCTTAGCCATGGCATTAGAACTAATTTATCAAACTCAGCAATTCAGAATTTGGTTACAGCAGGTTTAAACTTCACTTTTAATATTGTTAATGTTGGTAAGACAATGTTACATGATAAAAAATAAACTCAGATATAGTTTTGCTTGCAGCAACACATGCATTATTTAATTTGTATTATCTTCTTTTAAATATTGTTCTATCTGAATTAAATCTTTCTTTGTTTCAGGTAACTCTCTCTGGAGTTACACTTGCTTACATTTGACGAAACATGAAAAAGAAAGATTTAAAATTCTAACGAATATTAACACACCACTTGGATACTTCAGAGCATTTCTTAGAGCTGCTTTGAATGAAAGGTCTCTTGATAGGTAAAGCTAATTATTTATTTTTATGTAGCAATGTGCACAAGAAACATGTTTTAAACACACGAACATTTATATCATGTATTATATTAATTTCAGATATCTTCAAAGCTGGATAAGTCATGGCCTGCTAATGGAATATTATGAAGAAGGTGCTCTGGTCCGAGGACCTGAAACATCACATCTCTTTCCAAGCATGGCTGCAGGTACAATAGACATATTTTTAGAAATTATTTTATTCAAAAGCTTTTATATTATATAGAATTATGTTAAATAGGAATAGTAATAAACAAAACATAATTTCAGGTTTATCAACAGTATTGTTTGCATTATCAATTGACAGACTAGAGTTGAATGACTCACAACAAGCTAATCAAACTAACAAAGCAGAACATGTGATACCTTTACCAATGCCAGTAAAATCATCAAGTAATTTGAAACGAAAACCACTGAGACAAGTTATATCCTTTGACAAAAATGAACAGAAAAATACTAAAAGTAATAAGAAACAAATATTTGGAGCAACAGAACAAGTTGATAATTCTGCTTGGAACAGTGCACCAGCTACTTGCCTCAATTCACCAGATCCCAAAATAGTTGCCCAGGCAGCCTCAAGCAGCGAACCAACTAGTTCAGAATACAAAACCAGTTTAAGGCATTTTTTTCCTGACAGTGTCAAAGTTATGGACAGTCCTTCACAAATTCTCTCCAAACTTTCTGAATGTGCAAAGGAAATATTTTCATCTTCTAGCAGTATTGATGTAAACAATGTCATCAAAGATGATGTTTCGGAATTAAGTGTAAATAATTTAAAAATATCAGAAAGTGACAGTGAGGAAGTGGCGGGAAGTATTGATGGTAGTACTTCATGTCTAGAACTTTGTTTCACAGAGGACGAAAGTACGCCGGACGATAAGACATTAAATGCGATATTAGAAAGTAAGGAAAGAGAGTATTTAAATTTACAACTAAAATACACTCAAATGGAAGTAGCTAGTAAGGAAAAAATTAAAAAGTTAGAAAATGTAGTATTGGATCTGAGCAAGTGAGTAAAATAAACATGCTATACATTTATACATTTTTGTTTCTTGATGTCTCTATTACCTAATTTTTTAATACAAAATGTATTAATTATTTTTATTATCAGACATACAAATATTGTTTATTATTTATAAATGAAACACATACCTTTACTTAAATATGTAATTTTATCTGTTTTCAGAGAAAATGATCGATTAAAAGAGCAACTGCGGCATTACATGTCAGCTGTTGAAATCGCAAAAGCTTTAAAAACTGAAAACGTCGATAACACAGAAGTTGATCAGTACGAAAAAAAATTGGTTCAGGTACTATGTCATACATAATTATAAATATATACATACATAACATCACGCCTTTTATCCCGAAGGGGTAGGCAGAGGTGCACATTATGTCACTGTACAATGGAACACCCACTTTTCACTATTTATGTTACGAGTCCCATGTAATAGGGGGTGAGCCTATTGCCATATACCGGGCACAATTCCAGACTCCGTGCTACTACTGAGAATTTT